ACAGGTCGGGCCTCCACCGTGGCTTCTCCCAACTTTTATTCTCTGCAGGGCAGCTCGGACAGGGAAGTGCAGCAGCTGCAGGAGGTGAACCGGGAGGCTCAGGAATTCCACAGGCAGCTCCAGCAGGAGGAGCAGGAGGCAGAGCAGCACCAGCAGCTGGTGGCCCTGGAGGGGCAGCAGCACAACGGGGCAGAGGAGACAGTGCTCGAAGAAGTTGCCGAGGTTGACTCACTGGTGGTAACCTCAGAAGACATCCAGGAATCCGTGCTCTCCATGCTGGAAACGGAGCAGCCGACGGATATCGCCGTGGAAACTGTAACTTCCTAATCCTCAGTGACTGACTGGGTTTTGTAAAGGAAAATAACTTTTTTTTTTCTTTTTTTTAACTGTTAATTAAGGTGCTGTTGGCACGTGGTGTTGGGAGCAGAGAGGAGCTGTTGCCAAAGCCACCTTGTCACCAGGGTCAAAGCTTCTCCAGCCACTCACAGCATAACTGCTCTCAACACAGTGCCAAAAGGGGCTTTTAGAGCTTGACCTGGAGAGCCTGGAGGCTTTGTACCAAAACTGTAGCCAGAGAGTGACCTGAGGGCTTATTTGGGGATGTCAATACCTGCATTGTTGGGGAGAGGGAGGGAAAAAAATACCTCATTGACAGAGCAGCTGGGATCAGCTGGGTCACGGCGCTGGAACCATGTTCCCCAACATCCCAAGGTGTCTGCACCCTGGGAACCAGTCATCTCTTGGGGTGTTGCTTTGAAATCTTCAGAGGTGTCAAGGGGGTTTCCCCTTCCAGCTGGAAAAGGGAATTGCACCTTCTTTTTCTTCCCAAAACCACCAGTCTTGGTTGAGGCAGCTTTCAATGCAAGAGGCCGGGCCGGGCGAGTCAGCTGGAGCATCTCACGCTCTCAGGGAACATCCTGCTTCACCCCCTTGATTTCAGGGACAGTTTTGGGGGAGCTGGTTGTCAGACCCCTCAACTACCCACCCAGAGGGATTGCAAAAAATCCCTCCTTCATTTTACAGTGTTTAGTTAAGTGGTTTTGCCACTTTGGTGCTGAACAGTCACACTGCCTGGTTCTGCCTGCAGAACTGTCCATCGGGCAGTGTGATGGCTCCAGAGGGAGACACATCCCTTTTGGTTTTTATTAAACAGGCTTTATTTTTAAAGGTACTAAACCCTTCTTTAACAAGCAGCCCATCTTGTGACTGAAAAGCTTGGGTTTGGTTTTGTTTGTTTTTTATCTTGGTGGGCCTGCTTGGTGCAGGGACCTGTTCAGTTGTGGGTTGTGGGTTTCTGGGCAGGAGGGGACCTGGAAGCACCTTGAGTGATCACATGGAGCTTGATAGTGGAAGAGGATCAAGGGAGGTCTAGAAAAATGCTGCCCTAGGAGGGTACTGAGGACCAGGGGTGACCTGCAGCTCTGAGGCCTGGGCAGCCACATCTTCTCACGCAACAAAATTCCATCACTTTTGGCCCATAGTTTATTGATTTGGGTGGTTTTTTTGTCCCAGTTTTGTAACCATGGGCAGGACTGGGGGTAATGATTCCACACCATGGTCCTGGCGTTGTGTTTGTCCCTGTTACTACAAGTGTGTCCAGATAATCCAGTTCCCCATTGGTTTGGGTGCTGCCTTTGGCATTTCCTTGCAGGTAGATCAGCTGTGTTGTGGTGTAGGAGAGGTGACATGGACTCGTGAGCTCACAAAGGTGTGAGCTGCTCTGGAGGAGCTTCTCACCCTGGGAGGAAACCACTTCTCATCCTGAAATCAGCTGGAAGGGAAGGTGGGATCTGCTGGATTCCCCTCTGGGGGAGGTTCCTGGGACTGTTCCTGTAACGCTGGCGTCAGACTCGCTGGGTCTGGAGAATCCAAGTGCATTTATTTATAACCAGTGTAGCTGTATTTATAAATAAGACTTTTTTAGTCTTTTTGGTTTTTTTTCCAAGAGCTGTTTTGCAGAAGGCTTCAATCATTACTTTTTTTATGAATGGATGTTTGGAGAGATGTGGCTCCTGGCATCACCACCGCGTCTCCTCCCTCACCTCGGGCATCGTTTCCTTTTGATCCCCCCCCAAAACATCCACAATTTGGGCCTGTTTAAACTGCACAACCTGTGCCAGAGGCTTTGAGGGAGTAGTGAAGGGCTCCAGGTGGATTCTTCTCATACCTGGAAGTGCTGAGGGACGTAGAGGGACCCTCTCAGCTCTGGCTTTGAGGTTTGTGCTCACGGTTTGTGCACAGATGCCCTGTTGTGCCTCTGCCAGCCCCAGCTCTTCCCATCCTGCTCCTGAAGAGGTTTTGCCAGAAAGTCCCTTCAGCTGGGAAACAACCTCCTCCTTCAGCCGAGGAGGGGGAGGAACAAAAACCCCACAACCCAGTCGGTGGAACCGCTGGTGACTGGGTTGGGTTTCTAGAGTGGGAACAAACGCAGCTGATGCTGTTGTTGCTGCCCCGGGGGGAATCACACGGGAATTGTGTTTTTAGAAGCGTTGGGGTCTGGGCAAAACTGAGGAGAATTTGATCTCTGCCCGGTGCTTGGAAAGAATTTAAACCCTTTTGCATCCCCCGCTCTGCCCGGAGCAGCGTTGGGAGGTTTTTCCAGCTGAGAGCAGCAGTTTTCTGCTCGCTGTGGGGTCAAACACCCTCCCCCGGGCGCTGCTGCCCCGGGGCTTTTGTCCTCCCGGGACATCCCGGTGTCACCTCCCGGTGTCCGAGTGGTGGGGTCGGGGGTTCCCTGTCCGGGGGTCCCTGTCACCCCCCTGGGAACCAGGGTGTCACTCTGGGGAACGGGTGTTTTGCCACGGAAACACAAAGTTCACTCCTTTCCAGCCCTTCCCGAGGTGGGAATGAGGCCCCGGGGGCTGCGCTGACCCTGGGGCGGGACCCCCGGGACCCCCTGATCCC